TACCAAAAAAAAAAAAAAAAAAAAGAAAGAAAGAAAAAGAAAATTATCTCACGTGTTTTCAGTGTTTAAACTTAAACTAATTAGGATGAGATATATTTTTAAAAATGCATTTTTTTGGGTCTGATGGGCCACATATCAAGCGCTCAGGGCCACACGTACGTAACTGGGGACTTCGGTACTGAATGGCACCGGTCCAGTCAGTGTGTGTCCGTCCACACTTACTAGGTCAGCTGGCTGAGTCCCCTTCTCTGTGGCCTGTGGCCCTGCTAGGAGGACCAGCTCACCTGAGAGGCTCACACAGCACTCCTAGAGGCCGAGTCTTCTTGCTCTGCACAGGTGTGCAAGGGCTGGCAGGGCCATCAGATGGGCCTGTGGGCTTTGGGGGAGCAGGCAGATGAGGGGCTTTAGCTGTGCCTCTCACACCTCTGGAGCTGCTGTGATGTGCTGGGCAGGGCATAGCTGAGTGGATCCTTGGGCTGCTCGTGTCCTCTCTGGGGCTCCTCAAGTCCCCTCCAGCTGGCTGTCGCCTCTCTGTCTGGCACCACAGTGGCCAGTGCCTGTGTAACATCCGCTTGCCTCCTTCCACGGGGCATAGAACATGAGACGTTGCCTGGCACGTGGACGGTGCCCCATGTGGCTCAGTGCATGGACAGTGCAGGTGCTGGTCTCTCCAAGGAGCACTGCCAGGTACTGCCTTTTAACTGGCCATGGCTTCCTAGCTCTGACTGGCCTCAGGGGACCCCCAGTGTTCGGGGGTTCTGTGCCCCACTCCTGGGTAACTGGGCAGCCTCAGGGCTTGCTCTCTCCACTCATCAGTGAACTCCTATGGACCTGATAATGGACCTGGGAAGCAGGGGGTGCCCTGTGCCCACCTTATGGGTGGGAAGCCCGAGGCACAGAGCTGACAAGTGTCTGTAGGAGTCAGTCTTGGCTCTCCGTCTTCCCAGTCCCCTCCTCAGTTTCCTCGACTGTACAAGGAGTAGTTTGAATTCTGGTGGCCAAATGCCTTCCATCTGTAAGAGACACTGTGTTTGCTTTCTGAGTGGTTTTGCTTTGGGATGGAATTGAGGGAGGGCTAAATCAGATCAGGGGAAAACTACATTGCACTGCCTGGCCCAGGCCTTCCTGGCATCCCAGCCCTGAAGAGGAGAGGAGGAGGTGAAGGAGGAGGAGGAAAGATCTGTGTAGCTCCCAGAGGCTGGGCCAGGAAGCCCGCTAGGCGATCGGGACACTGGGAGAAGCCAGCTCTGCGTCTTGGCACTCCGGCCTCGCAGCTGCTGGGGGCTGGCTGCCTGCAGTCCCTGGGCTGGCAGGCGGAGGCCCGTGGCTGGGGCAGGTGGGGGTGTGTGGAGGGGCATCCATCACTGCCAGCAGCTCGCACCGGCCCTGCCAAGTGGTGGTGGAATGGGGCCCAGGTGCCAGTGTGCCTGGTAACTGGATTGCTATTTGAAAAATTGCAGTGGTGTCCAGAAAGTCTAACCTCCACTTTGCTATCAGGAGTCTGGAGCCGGGCGGGTGGTGGCCAGAGTGGGGCTGTTTGTACAGGGCGGCCAGTGGGAAGGTGCCCTGGACGGGACAGATTACAGTGAAGGACGTGATCCACCCAGTGCTGGGTGGAGGGAGGGGCACAGGGCAGGGGACGGAGCGCACAGCCAGCCCCAGCACAGGAGGTTATCCGGTGCCTCTGAGTGCCAGGCCGTGGTGCCAGGTGCCAGGGGGTGTGGAGATAGGGGTGGCGTCTCCAGGACACACAGCACCGGGACCCACGATACTTTAAGGGGCTCACTACGATATTTTCTTTTTAAAATCAGAAGACAGGGCCAGGGATTTAGCTCAGTGGCACCACACCTGGCTCTTAAGCACAAGGTCCTGAGTTTGATCCCCGGTACCAAAAAATAAAAAATAAACTCAGAAGACAAACGTAGAGGTTCATGTTGAATTTTTTTCTCTGTTTACACATGATGAAACAGTGTTCCCACAAAGTCCACGTGTGCTCAGAATGAGACTTGTGTGGAGGTAGGCGCTTTGTGGGTGTAAGTGGACGAAGTGAGCTCACACTGCAGTCTGGTGGGCTCTGTCCTTGTAAGAGGGACACATGAAGGAGGCGGAGACACATGGGACCCGTGAAGATGGTGTACCATCAGAGCAGAGAGTAGTGTGATGCAGCCCCCAGCAGGGGAAGAGGCAGGAAGGGCTGTCCTCTGGCACCCCTGGAAGAAATCAGCCTGTTGACACCTTGGTTTTGGATGTTGGCCCCAGAACTGTGAAAGAATAAATTTCAGTTGTTCCAAGCTACCTGGGTTGTGGCCATGCATTCTGGTAGCTCCCCGGGATGTAGGAGGACATGTGATTGTAATTGGCCCCCATTCCGGACAGTTGCAAGGTCTACATCCCATGATTGTTCATACAGACTTGTTTTGATGGAGGTGTGAACCGGTGAGAGTAAAGGTGCACAGGGCCCAGGAGTCTCTCTGGGAGGTGACAGTGTCTCTATCCTTCAGCTTGGCTCCGGGGCTGGAACATGCTGGGAGATGGGGTGTGTGGGGGGGTGTCCTGGGCAGATGGAGCTCAGCCCCCTGCAGAGGTGAGGTACGGGGGCGGGCCCTGAGTCCAAATCTTGGTTCTGCTTCTGGCCCTGCCATTTCCTAGCTGTGTGACCTCGAGAAGACATGTGACCTTGTAAGCCTGACCTGCTAATGCGAGGCGCCCTACTTTAGGGGGTGCCCACGAGGACCCAGTGAGTGCAGCTGGTGGTAGCACAGGCTCTGCAGAGCTTGGCCAGAAGCAAGGGCCAGGGGCTCAGTTCCTCATCTCCAACCTATTTGTCACCCACCAGTACTTAGTGACTTCCTGTAGCCCCGATCTTCACAGGAGACGTCCATCCCTGGAGCCACCAAACTTCCAAGTGGAGGCTGTCACCCTTTCCCAGGACAGGCCACATGGCACACGAAGGCAACCAGGGCTGTGTCGGGGTGCTGTGCACATGTCATCCCAGGTAGAATACTGGGAAAGCCTGGCTCATAGACAGTATTGCAACTCTCCCCTCACGGAAGAGGGAGCCGAGGCACAGAGTAGCTGGGACACTAGTAGGTAGCACAGCCAGCTGAGGGCCTTGGAGAGCTCAGGAGGGAGCTGCTTTCCTCCCCAGGAGTCCAGAGGGTAGGTGGCGGCCATGCATTCCTGCCTGTAGATGGGGCCCTGTCCACAGGCTGCTCCTGGGCCTCGTTCTGCTGAAGGGCTCAGTGCTTGTTTTCTGACTCCAAACTGACATGGCTGCAAGGGTCCTTGGTCAGTGCAGAGGGGACGGGGGCATATTGCTTCAGTCTCTTCCTGCAGAACACTTTGGGCTGTGGGATACAGTGTAGACCAAGGTGATACAACTTGGGAGCAGCCTCGTGCCCCATAGGGAGTGGAATCCACCCTGGACAGGCCTGGGTGTACCGTGGATCCCCCTCCTCATCCCCTCCAGCCCAGTCCCTGATGAGAGACTCTGTCCTCCAGCACCGTGCCACGAGGTCCCCAGGGTAGCTCTGCACACTCATTGCTGATTTCTCGTTTTGTGTCTCTTCCCTCATGTTTCTGGGAGGCTCTCACGGAGACATGACCTGCCTGGATGAGCAAGTCAGCCTTGCCTTGGAGGATCAGGTCTCCTAAACTTTCTGAGGACAGGTGGATGTTGACAGATGTGACCCAGTTCCCTCCAGAATCATTGCTCTCCTGTGAACTTAGGCTTGTCAGTTCCCCAGGCCTTGGCCCTCTCTCTGGAAAATGGCCCAAAGGGGTGGCTGGCTTGGTGGCCCCTGATGTGTCTGTACCCTAGGATACCTTTAGTGGTTTGGGTATAAATGCCGATTCAGGGCTCAGTGACACTGAGTGACATGGCATCTCCAGACTTCAGTTCGCTCATCTGTGAAATGGACAGAACACAGGGCTCATCAAAGCCAGACTGCAGGAACAGAGCTCACTAGCCATTTAGCACATTCCCAACACTTGGAACGCACAGTCCCTCTCCCTCCAATCTTATTACTTTCAGGGATGAAGATTATTGAGGGGGTAGAGTTAACTGAGCTATAATCGACCCACTCCTCCTCCTTCGAACTGCAGATCTGGGCTCTGTCCCCATGATCTTGCCTTTTCCAGAATGTTCTGTAGAGGAGCCATGTAGTGTGACGCCTTCCGTGGCTGGCTCCCATTACTTCCCACAGTACACTTGGGGTCTGTCCTGTTGTCTTGCCTTTTGGCAGCTCATTCTTTTCTGTGCATCACTCTGTGCACGGATGCTGGGGGGTCTGAATACCATCCCCCAGTTACTGGACAGCCCAATTGCTTCCGGTCGTGGCTGCTATGAATAAAGGCGTTGGGAACACTTGTATTTGGGTCTTTGTGTGGTCATAGGTTTTCATTTCTCTGGAGTACCCGCTAGAAGGGGGACTGTTGCTGGATTGTGGATTAAGTGTACATTTAACTTAGTAAGAAACTGCCCACCCCTTTTCCAAAGTGACCATTTTGTGTTTCAGGCAGCCATGTTTGAGCGGCCAGGTGTTCCACATCTTTGCCTGCATTTGCTACTGTGAACTGAAGATCTTTGCCTCTTTAATGCATGTATAGTGCCTTTAGTTTGCATTTCCCTATGGTCTGAACATCTTTTCATTTGCTGCCCTGTTGGTTATTTGCCATCAAATATCTCAATTCTGCTCACTTAAAAGATGGAGTTAGTCTTACTGAGTTGTAAGAGCTCTTTCTGCCTTCTGGAGGTATTTATCAGCTTTGTATTTTATGCATATTTCCTCCTAGTACATGGTTTTTCTTTTATTCTTTGGTA